GCGCCTCGAGCAAAATGACATACGTATTCCTTTCCCGGAGGATGAAATAATTTATTAAATAATTTTCAAGAAAAAATTTCCTTGATTTGTACAAACGTTTTCTTATTTAGTTAAATGTATATCAAGACTAAATCTAGAAGATATGTATATTCTTGTTTACTTTCAAATTATATTTTCTTGATAATAAGAATTCGCTTTCTAAGTTCAAACACAAGTCTCGATTTCCTTGTGTCTGATTTGGTTTAAGAAAAATTGTATCTCCATGTATGAAAGCATCTTCGATTGGTTGAGTGCAGTGTTGCCAGATCTTCTTCTCGAAAAACTTTAAATTTCCGAATAAAAATCTGCCTAAAATCGACCTATTCAAAAATTAAGTTTTTATTTTGATTTTTTTATTGAACAAATTCATAAATAACAAAAAACGATAAATTAAAAGAATACCATAAACTGTTTACATTATATTTAACAAAACATAAAAGTTAAAAAAAAAAGTTTTTTTTTTTGTAAATTGCTTTGTTAACTCTTTTGAGCATTTGATTCGGTACCTCAATTTAATGTACCTTCTTGATCAGTGTTTTAAATATATCTTTAGCTCTTAAAATACCAGAGTGCTGGAGTTTCTAGTTTACAAAAAAAAATCGAAAGAGAAACCATACTCTTTATTCAAGAGTCGTGAGTTAATTTTAAAATTTTAGCAAAACATCGCAAACAAATATAGGATTAATTGTTGCTGAAGTATATTTTTGCTTCCGAAAATTTTCCATTAGATTCTAGCTCCTATGAATACGTACAAACTGATTCCGTTATTTCGAGATACCAATAACACCACGCGTCAAAAACAAAAAATCAAAAATGCACGCGAACAATTAATATACCGGCGTCAGGATTTTTTTAAGGACTTTAAAATTTTAAAGATATGATTAATTCAAAAATTATTTTAAAAAATCAGTGAAATGTACAATAACAATAAAGGTACAAAATGTTTCTCATTTCATTCAGCCGAATTGAAAAACCTTAAAGTTTTTTGGTTTACAAGGACAAATAAGTATTGAAAGTTCGCTTTCAGTCAATTTTATTTTTTAAGTTATTAAAGTTAGGACGACAAAATTTGAGGATGTGGTCGTGTGTATATTAGTCCTTAATATATAATTTTTTCAAAAACAAATATTGCAAATTTTCAAGGATATTCAAGGATAAAATTTTAGAAGGAAAGTTTCCATACCCATTCGTCCATATGCAACCAACAATTTTTTTATTTTTTAATTCTGCAGGATTTTCTCTTTTATGAACCCACATTGTTATTCTACATTGCACTGAAATTCTTTAATAATTTTTTTAATTAATCTTATTTTTTTAAATTTCAAAGTCCTTAAAAAATCCTGACGTCAGAGTGAAAAATTAAAAACGAGGTTTTACAATATTTTACCCATATTTTCGCGAATATATTCATTCATTTACTGTCACACGGTGTAACAATTCCAAGTTAATTAATTGATAAAACCTTATTCAACATAGTCGTATTATTGTCATGTGAATATAATTTTTTTGTAAAATCAGACCAAGATAAGACAATTGAGTCATAAATGGGGTTATTTTTTATCCTTTATTATTTGTATTTGGCCCATTTCACTCACGACCGACCTTCGCCGAAAACCTAATTAAGTCGGGAGAACGAACGAGAAGATGGACGCATAGACAGACATGGATTAATCGATTTCTATTTTTATTCTGCACATTTTGATACACATATTTTTGACATATCTATGTATATATGTATATCTATTGCAATCTCGTTAGGCTTATAGAAACAACCATTATGTATAAGCTTCCCATTTTTTTGAAAAACTTGTTTGCATTCCGAGCCTTAACGAGAAATATTTGAATTTGTTTTGATGGAAAATTACACAAATAAGACGACACAAAATAAAACAAATCTAGATAACGAAATATAATTGATGTTTATTACAATAATATTAGAGGCGAATTTGTCGAAGCTTATAGCTACATTTGGGATCTAAATAAGATTAAGTAAAAAGTTGTCAAAAACTATTATAAGTAAAACCGAGCACTATGTTTAGGTAGGTATTTTTTGGCTTACGGACTATTAAAAGTTCCTATGCTGCTATTTTTAATTGGATGCAAAATGTATATATAGTTTATCTCACAATTCAAACTATTTTTAGTATATACATATATTAATAGTGCAAGGATGACGCTTTTGTTTTAAAATTATGTATTAATCACAAAAGACAGATAGCCTAAAGATTGTTACAATAAGAACAGAAAAATTTTAGCCCGAATCTTAACTTTAAATAAGAGCAAACCAGAACTGGTCCATAAACTGTTTACTAGTCTTTGTGACACGATGTAGATTTTTTTAATAAGCTATGGAGTTGAAATTCTTAAGCCTACAAAAGCAAGAACCGAATTAAAGCACAATTCTTATCTGTTGTAGCACTTTTTCCCGGTACCGGGCGCTGTGTAGACTTCTAGACTGAAAACGAGACTTCATAGTTAAGGCTGTACCTACACAGCTTATTTTCCTTCTTTAATATTTTAATAATAAATTTATTATAAAAACATGGGATTAGAACAGAGAGATGAATTTATTTGGATTGAATGAAAGTTTTATGTAGCTCAATGCATGTACATAAATGCAATGCTTTAGAAAATTTATTCCTGCATACATTTACAACGCCACAAACAGAGTTCACAGTTTTCAATCAAAAATTACAACAAATAAATACATATCGTCGTTTAAAGTGGAAAACCGCGTATCAACAAAATGCAAAACCGCGTATCAGCAAAATGCAAAACCGCGTATGTGAACTTGTAGAAATTATTTTCTTTCTTTTCTTTTTTATAAAGAAATCGCATTTCTGGCTAGTATATTTCAGGAAGAATGAATAAGGATTGAGCCAAGAGCTTGTTGAGCAAATCCAATTTTTGGCAGCCAATGTCAGTTACGCGGTTTTGCAGAATGACGATACGCGGTTTTGTACTTTAAACGACGATATGTTAAGCCCGTGGACCTACAGTGATATATGTATGCTTTGTAAATATAGATGCATTCAGTAAACTACCAATCTAAGCTTTTTCAAAAGGCTGCATTTCAAACAAAGCAAATTAAAGGTTTGAACTTAAGTCAACACAGAAAATAAGTATCTACACAATTTTGGTTACCCAAAGCTACAAAAACACCACCCTCACTGAGGGATAATACGACAAAGGCAAACGCAGATTCGCCAATAGCAGTTCGAGGCGTCTAGCGCGTGAGTTGGCAAGCGATGGAGTATAAGCTACAAATCTGACTCGAATGTAAGCTATTTAAATGCCCAACATTTTCACGCCAACTGTGTAGTGACCAAACGAACTATGTTACAGGTGGCCTTCGAATCGAAAGGAATGAAGACAAAGCAAAAGTTAAATTTGCTAAGAATCCCTCAACATTTACCGCCTCACTGCACCAGTTTTGACAGTACTCCCCCAAACCATCACAATCACACTGTCGTCTCCTTCCCAGTGGGTGGTGACATTGCACCGGATAGTAGAACACCAGCAAACTTTGGTCTAGACATCGGTGATGATGTCAAGTACAATTGTGGTTGGGATTGTGAACGCAAATTTAATGGACGCGCGCTGGCTGGCGGTGGAGGAGCCGTGCGCAATTTCAAATGAGTTGGCTTTAGCGGCCGCTTGGGAGGTAATGGTGGTGGTGGGGGTGACGTTGAAGAACGACAATTCACGGAGGTATCGCTACTACGTCGCGAGTCGAAAAATGAGGTGTTGCTGTAGATGGCTTCCTCTTCTATGGTGGAGTAGATTTCTTCGGCCGTCTCGTAATAAGAGGCCGCATTCACGGTGCGCTGCAACGACGAAGTCGACTCTGATTCAACTGACGCCAAAGTGGAGGTGGACAGATCTAATGAGTGTACTGTATTTTGATAATCACCGCTGCTGATGTGAAGGGGGCGTCCGGAAGAGGGAATAGGCACAGCTGAGTTCTGCGCAACTATTTCGGATATTGTAGGAAATTGCATTGAGGTGTACGACGGTGTAGGAGAGGTAATTTTAGCAACTGGTATTTCCATTGACCGTCCGGGTTTTGTTGCGGCACTGGCGGTTTTAATTGTATATGCTGTAGAGTTGCTGTTAGAGGAATGGGATTCGGAAGAAAATATAGCTGTTGATGATACGGGGGAAGTGACTGTTGTGGCTAATGTTGGTTTTGAACTATATCTGCTTGTGAAGGCGTCTGGAGTGGCAGTGGCTTTAGTCGCTGATAAAGTGTTGACAATGTTGTTTGTATGGCTGTCTGTGGCGCTATTCGAAACAAATGGTTCTTGTGTTGGTTGGGTTGTCGATTCACTCACCAGGACTGTACGCTGTTGCAGGTGAATATGTGGTGCCTGTTGCTGCATCTGTTGTTGAGGCTTCATATATAAGCCGGCAGTGACAGCCGCTGTACCACTGCTGGCCAAGAAAATAGGCGTACTAACCAACGATGATGACGACGATGGTGACGCCTGCGACGTTGTTGCAGAGAACTGTGCTTGTGGAAGCAATACAAGGCCGCCTACAGTAAATAGCGATTGGTTCTGTTGGGAATTAGAGACGTTGTTTTTACTCGTAGGGATCAAGTGACCAGTTAGGACTTGAGTGGTATTTGGCTGTTGGGGTTGTGGAAGGCTTGTGTACTGAACTGGAAGTATTTGCGCTGAGGGGAATATTTGTGTGGGGGAGAGTGAACTATTGGATGGAATGCCTGCCTTTATTGCCGCTGTTGATGACAAGAGATCCCACCTGGGCTGCATGGTTGCATTTAAAGAAACAATAGAAGAAATAGGAGAAGCAATGTTAATAGTTGAAGAATCGCTATCGCAATAGGAACTACTTTCACAACCGGAATTCTGAGCCATAAAGGAAAGCAGGTGTTCGGGTGGTGGGGGAAGTGGTAAAGAATCTAAATTGTCATCTGAACTATGAATATATGGATTTACCGAGTGTTTGATGCTTGCATAATGTGGAACTGGCGGCGCATCTTCGTGTGGTGCACCCAACTCTGGGATTTGCGACTTTTTACCCACGTTACGTAACTGATTGCGAATTTCATTCTCATGCAACATGATTGTACGGTGCTCTTCTTCAGTAACCAGAATGTGATCGGGCGAATTTTCATGTATGAACTCCGAGGGGCGGCGCTGTGAAGGTGGTAATTCGTCATCAGGTGGTGGTTGAAGAGGTGGTAAGACCTCTACGTAAAACGCTTCCTCACTACTTTTCACTTTTACACCTGGCGAAGTTGGCTTTGGCATTGTAGCATAATTGATGGGTGGGGGAGGCGGGCTTTCGCGAGGACGCGACGGGCTGCGTGGAGTTTTTATACGCACTGGAAGCTTTGCTATGTTGCCACTAGTTGGTGTTAATGGAACCGTTGGCGTTGTCGGAGGTGGTGGCGATCTCACTTCATGAATTGTGTTTGTGGTGGGATCATGTTCGAAAACCGTAAAATCGCCGTGACCAACATCGGCTTTTTGGAAAGCATCCAGCGCCACATTATGAACTAGCTCAGCTTTTTTCGTTTTTGGCTTCGGCATTATAGGAGGTGGTATCCTCTTTGGTTTGGCACCCGTTGAATTTGATATAAGATCCTCAGTGGATTTTGAATGTGCGCTAACCACAGTACTAGGAGTACTGCGTCCACTTGAAGGTGAACGCTCGGATGACAACAAATTTTCTGTTGACTTCGAGCCAAAGAAGAATTGTTCACGTGGAGATTTAAGAGCTGAAGGTGATTTAGACATGGCTTGAGCCAACTCAGTGTACTCATCAGTCTTAGATTTATCGAGGAATGCTTCACGGAAAGGATTATCTCGTTCGATTTCAGTATACACCGGCACTCTTTCAGGCTGCGGTGGTGGACTTCGATAGCCGCTACTTTTTGATTCCCCACCAGTTAAAGGAGAAGACGAGCGAACGTGTTGAAGTGTGGGCGAGTCTATTTCTTTGATACGCGCCACTGTGGGCAATATCGGAGGCAGTTTTTCGGGGCGCCTGCTGCGCTCTAGTGTCGAATTGTTGGACGACGATGGACTCGCCGAGCGCAATATGCCTTTCCGCGGCATGCGGACACGTGAACTACCATATTCTTGTTCCGAATCGTAATAACGTGAATAACCATCGGGAGTACGTGAGCGTTCGTAGTCGGATTTGGACCGTTCATCCCCACTTAGATCGAAACTTACAGATTTTCGGTGCCCACCGTACGTAGAACTTGTCAGGTCTGGTGTACTACGACCGGAAATGTAGTCTAAACCTTCGCGGCTGGGGCGATAAGGACGGTAGTCATTTTCAGAATCGCTGGTGTAACGTGGTGAAGGTCGTGGCCGCTCAAAGTAGTCCGAATCTGTGTCACCCTGGTCAGCTGAGGTATTCGGAGAAAACGTATCGTTTACATCGTCATAATCATATTCATCTTTAGAATATTCAAACTGATCTTCGCCATGACCCCCCTCGCCCTCGCCCTCTCCTTCGTCTTCATCGTCAATTATATAGACAGGTTCAGCTTTCTTTAATTTAAGTGACAAAAGAGTGCGCTCATCCTCACGCTGAGCTGACTCACTTTTTACGATCTCTTTGTTTTTATAAGAGGAGTCCTGACGTTTCGTTACGGTTCTTGCCCTCTGTATGGGTGGAGTTGGAATACGCCTCTGTTGAAGTTCATTATGAGCATAAAAATTATGTCCATGGAAAATATTTATTTATTTTAGTTTCAGTGTCTAAAATTATGTTTAAGCGATAGAACATTTACTGAAGCGCGTTTATAAAAGTGATATGAATATGTGCTAATTGTGCTTTTGGTGTTTGTGAAACTTAAATAAACGAGTGCTTTGACAATGCTGGGTTTTTCAGGTACATATGTAGCTGGATTACCTTGAAGTGTTTTTTTTTCAGGTACATATGTAGCTGGATTACCTTGATGTGTTATGTGAGATAGTGTGAGTGATTTACTTACAATGATATTTAAAAAGTGAAAGACAGTGAAAAGCTCTAATAGTGAGTTTTTAATGGTTATAATTAGCAAACACTTTTGATTAGCACTTTGGAAAACAAAAATAGTTTCTGAATCGCATGTTGCAGAGAGAAGAAGTTGAATTCAAAAGAAAGGACATTTTAAAAAGTTCACAAACAGTAAGGCAGTATGGAGGTCTGATGAAAAATGAGCATTGAAACAATTTCTAACACACACAAAAAAACAAAAAGGAATTTTATGATTTAATTATTCAGACTTAAAAAGCATCAAAAAGATACGCTCAATTACCTAATCAACTTTCCTTTATTCTCCCAAATACAAACTCAGAGTAGAAAAAAAAACTGAAACTCATTTCGATTCCAAAAACACTTTAAAAAATCTCTTATTTTTATATTCGAGAAGATATTGTTTTTATTATTGTTCAATTTCGGTTTTTGATTCACATAAAAAATGTTCATATTCATCAATACTCATTTACCAACAGAATAATACGACTAATTGTAAAACGTATGTATATATAGTGCATATATGCATTACCCTGCCTTAAAGGAAAGGACACCTTTATACAGATTTTTATATTTTCAAAATATTTGGTTAGTTGGACAATTTATATACTTGTACTTATATATGTATGTACTAGAGCTCTTGAACTTATTCGAATAATTCGATTATTCGAACGTTCGAATGGCAAATATTTGTACGATTGCCAATCGAATGTTAATATTCGAATACTGATTCTATTCAATTATTCGAATAGTCGCAAAGCTTCGATTAATCGGATACCTTTTTAAAATCGAACATTCGATCGTTGTAACAAGCGTTAAGGCATCCACACACCTGTGCGATTCTGTTGGAACGAATCCGCGCCATTTTTGTTGGTACAGACTTCACTACTTCGAAAACGCAAATACGGATACATCTATGCGATTCTATCGCAGTATCAATTTATAGTCCAACAACAAATATTTTTCAACAAAAATAAAATTATTACTTTTCTACATCAAACATGTTTTGCTTCTTTTACGTTCATTTATGTTTCAATCTAGTAAAATCCGTCTATTGGAATCTTTCATTTTCAAAACGCGGCAGTCTGCGATTTCGGCACGACTGAAAAAGAATGGTGAATGTTCAAATAAATCGTTGCAGCAAAATCGCGTGTCTGGCTGTTAATTTAAAATTGTGGTCTGCATTGTTGTAATTTCGGCCGGCACGGCACGGCAGAGTCGCACATATGTACATATGTATGTGTGGATGCCTTTATAATTACATATCGTACGTGGTACTGCAAAACGTTCTATGTCACTTATTATCTCTGGTGCTTGATTGATCTTTTATCTGTATCTGATCGCTTACGGCAATAGTTAATCTTCATCAGCCAAAGGTAGACAGTTTTGTAATTCATTTATTAGGGTATAACGATATGCAGATGCATTCCGGTGCAAGTAAGAGACCATCTAATTGCCAAAGGTACTAATAGACATAGACCGTTTTGCAGTATCATCGACGATATGTATGTACTGTTACTCCCAAAATTGAGCGTACCGTACGGCTCTTTTTTGTTAATATTCGCAATGTTTTACATGCTAAAAAAAATTTACATTTTTTATAGGAAAAAAATTGCGTAGGACAGCCAGCAAAAAAATGTAAAAAATCAACGCGAATTTTTAGACATTTGAAATTTACACATTATTAAACTAAAAATGGGCTATAAAACTGCATACCAAGAAAATGTTTTTTTTTTTTGGTTTTTGTAAATTAATAAAATTAATTGTCCATATATGGTATAAGGGGTATGGAAATATCTCTTTTCCCTAGCAGTAAACCTTTTAGTGTGAGCAACAATGATCTTTTCAAATAAGGCAGATCGGAATATGTGCTCACTGGCAAGACAATACTGTTATTATTGTACCCTGGAGTAGATGTATATCAAACAAAAAAATTACAATTTATAAATTTACTAGCCGACGAACTGCCTACATTTTTTTTTATTTTTCGCACAGGTGCAACCCTCTTCGAAAAATAAAACCTTACTGCAAATCGGAAAGTCAAGCCTTTTCCTTTGACACCTCATTTTTTTAAATCGAATGAACTGTCCAAATCTAACGAACAAAAAATGCCCTCGCGTATTATACATACATAATTTTTAAAAAGGTGGCAACCCCACTCAAACAAAAAATAAAAACTTATTGCACATGCAGAGACCATACCCTTTCACTTGGTGCCTCAGTTTTCACAAACAAACGGAGATTTTATAATTTTTAAAAAGTGGCAACCCTACTCAAAACGTAATACGTTATTGAACATCTAAAAGCCGAGCCCTTTTATTTGACACCTCATTTTTTGCAATCCAACGAACAATGTGGATCTAACAACTTTTTAGACCTTATAGGAACTTAAGGTAGTAAAGATAATATTCCTATCAATACAGATTATAATTAAAAAATTCCGTATAAATCCGTTCAGTAGCTTTTCAGATTAGCGTGGCCAAAATATCCCGACTTTCCTTTATACTATGTATAGAAGATAGTAATTTTTAAATAGGTGGCAACCCTATTCAAAAACGAAAGCTTTTGAACATGCGAAGGCCAGGTCCTTTCATTTGGTATCTCATTTTGTAATCCAACGAACGGCTAAAATCTTTTAACTTTTTAAGAGGTGGCAACCCTACTCAGAAAAATACTATATTATTGCACGATTGAGAGAAATAGAGGTTGCGCCCATCACAGTACCGCTATTCCTCTCCCAGTGAATTTGACAGAATCGCTGTTTGTATGACGTCACACTTGTGCAACTTGTTTAGGTTTTCCTTGCAACATTTTTTCTTCTTCTTCCATTCTTGCTCACGTTTGGGCATTTATCTCTCGCATCACACAAAAGTTATTCTCAAAAATCCTCTCTGATGGGCGCAATCTTGTATTCTATCATTCTTGATATTATTGCTCATGTAAAGGCTAAGTCTTTTCGTTTGACAGTGACGGTGCAGAACTGATGCCTACGCTTATTATGATTGAATATAGTAATTTTATTAACAGGTGGCGACCCTATTCAAAAAAAACATTAGTGCTTTTCTAGAGGCCAACCCCTTTCATTTGACACCTCATCTTTTGCAATCCAACAAACGGTGTGGATCTAATAGTTTTTTAGACAGGTGGCAACCCTATTTAAATTCTAAGCAAAAAAGGTCACTCTCCTGTCGGTACAGAGTATATTAGAGAAAATCTCATCAAAATCCGTTCAGTACTTTTGAAGATTACCGCGTATAAAGAACCTCGACTTTCGACTTTTAGAAAAGGGACTCAAACATAATATCCAGAATTATAATAAGAAAAAGGAAATCGAGCAGACAATTGTAGATGCGGAGATAGCCATATCTATGCTGCCGAAAGAGGAACAGGAACACACTAGACACATGTGCAAACAGTTAATTGAAAAGGAAATCAAAGCCAAAAGAAACAGAAAACAGGGCAACGAAAATAATATAATCAAAGGTCTCAAACAGAAACTAAAAAATAACAACGTAATCACGACCAAAGCTGACAAAGGAAGCACAACTGTACTAATGAATAGAGAGGAGTACATACAAAAAACGAAACAACTTATCAAAGAAACCAATTGTAAGAAATTAGTAAAGAATCCTACTGAGGAATACCAAGCCGCAATAAAAGAGACTATAAAGAAATCTACAAAAATAATAAATGCGAACCAAATACATACTTTGACAACTATGAATCCATCAGCTCCTCCGATGAATGCACTACCTAAAATCCACAAATCAGGCACACCTATGAGACCAATCATAAACCACAAATCGGCCCCAAGCTACAAACTATCAAAATATTTAAAAACTATACAAAAGGATAACCTTGGATTGCCCAATAAGAACACAATATCTAGTACAACGGAATTGATTGAAAAATTAAAAGACTCAGTTATCACGTTGGATACTAAGCTGGTATCATTCGACATAAAAAATCTATACCCATCGATACCCATAACGGAAACAATAGATATCCTATTCAAAATACTGACAGAAAAAACAAGAAACAGAGAAATCGCCGTGGAGATAACTAACGCACTCAGAACGACGTTGCGTCAAAACTACTTTAAATTTAATAACAACGTATACATGCAAACAAACGGGCTAGGCATGGGCAACCCCACATCGGCGATTCTTATGGAGGTATTCATGCAGAAGTTGGAAGAAAGGTACATGGAGTATCTTATGTCACAACTAGGAGCGACGTTCTACGCCAGATACGTTGATGACATCATATGTCTTATAACAAAGGAAAATGAAGAACAGATATTGGAATACCTCAACAAACAGCACAGCAACATAACGTTCACAATGGAACAAGAAATGGAAGGAAAGCTAAATTACTTAGATCTGACGATCAAAGTAAATAAAAACACCAGTAGTCTGCAATATGAAATTTTTAGGAAGCCCACAGCCACAGATACAATAATACATAATACTTCGAACCACCCTCATCAGCATAAAAAAGCCGCCTTTAGACAAATGATCAATAGAATTGAGCAAATACCACTAACAAAAGAAGGATACAAAAACGAACTGAACGCAATATATGCCATAGCGGCTAATAACGGATACAAGAGAGATCTGCTAGAGGAAATCCGAAGGGAGCACAAAAACAGAAGGTCAAACAAAGAAAAAAT